AAATCTCCTTTTGTAAAGATAAAGACAATTTAAAAACACGTGGTTGTACCTACTAACACTTATGTATTGTAGTCTACTATTTAAGAACAAAATCCCATCTATTCTAACACATATGTATCATTATGTACCACGTTAAGTCTTCATGATAAACGCAAAACCCTTGTGGTCTAGATTTGAAACCCCAGTTTCATCAGTTAGGTACTAAAATTAGTCTGGATTCGAGATAGCTAGGTTGAGCTCAACATTATCGATCGAGTCGCGCCTACGTGACTAAAACCTCAAGAGCCAGACGTCCTTATTGTGACCGTACAAACATACTGAACTATCTACATACTTCATTCTATATTATTTTATACTCTAGTGATATTAACTGCGTCGTTGGCCAAGTGGTCGCAAGTGCGACTGCCGGGCAAAGGGTCTCGGGGTCGATCCCCGGGTCGGGCAAAGTATTACTGGGTTTTTAAAAAAATCTCAGTAGTAGCACGAAGTTTGGAATTGTGCCCGGTATATGGCAATAGGCTCACCCCCTATTACATGGGACTCATAACATAAATAGTGAAAAGTGGGTGGTACATTGTACAGTGGCATAATGTGCACCTCTGCCTACCCCTTCGGGGATAAAAAGCGTGATGTTATGTTTTGATATTATTGGAATATTATGTCTGGCTATAAAAAACAAACAAGATAACGAGTTTAAACAAAAATAAAAGGCATTACTTATCGTAGAAATATTTTTAAACTTGTGTTTTTACCTCCTTTGACCGTCGATACGTCAGTCGAAAACTAACAGTTTGTTGTTTTGATGTTACTCTGTTTGTTATGCGACATAAAGAGGTGCTTTGGGTGCAAATCTTTGAAATTAGTGACTACATTCGAAGAGTAGTCTATATAGAGGTATATAAAAGAAAGTCGTGTTAGTTACACCACTTATAACTCAAGAACGGATGAATAGATTTAGCTGAAAATTGGTTAGAGCCAGGAGACCGACATAGGATACTTTTTGACCAACATTTCTTTTTTACTTTTTACCGAAAATCACGAACGGGGACGGGATAAATGGGATTACGCGTACGAAGTCGCGGGCAGAAGCTAGTTTATAATATATAAAAATTAATCCTTTTTTCCTTTGGTCAGCGCATCACGCGCGAATGGCTGGAATGATTTCACTAATTCTGTTTTTGGTGTATATGTTATTATTAGAAGGTTCTTAAGACAGAAAAAATCTTGAAAATTCTACGTGAACGGGAGATTACAGGATTGCGCGTACGAAGTCGCGGGCAGAATTTAGTTAATGTACCAATGTTATGTAAACACTTGTGTTTTTCATGTAATATTGTTTGTGTGGATACATACATACATAGAAGCGTAATGACCAATGTAACAATTAGTAATCCTAAACGGTTGGTTAAGCAACACGACTGTTGCTTTTTTCCGTTTTGTAAGAAAAGTGGGCATTCAAGCAGTGTGTAGCATACTAATGAGCTTATTATGTTCATGTACGTATGCATGTATGTATGTTTCTGTGTATGTGTAGGTACCTCTGAGTATTTACATACTCAGTTATTGTTACGAATGTGTGCCGACGTGATCACAGTCAGTCAGTCAATCTGTGAATTTAGAAACGTATAGCAGTCAGCCAACGTTAATTTAACTCGTCGAGTACCGGTTTTATAGACACAATTAAAGAACAATAGGTCGCGGTCACCGGTGACCGCTTGGTGTTTGACAGTTTAATAAACAAAACAAACGTGACTAACTGGCCATATTATGATTATGTAAGCACTGCCATTAACTCGTCGAGTACCGGTTTTATAGACACAATTAAAGAACAATAGGTCGCGGTCACCGGTGACCGCTTGGTGTTTGACAGTTTAAATCGACTCGTTCGATTTTTCTACGCCGCAAAATGTATTGTGTAGGTGTGAGCAGATAATGTGCGGGCAAGGCCAGCCACCTCGCGGTCTGCCGGCTCGCTCAAGGTTGTTTTTGTGTATAAACACGGCTCAGGCGATCGATAAATGTACCCGATCAACCGCCAGCGCGCAGCCAGCGGACGACCTCGCACACAACCGATTTTCCGCCTCAATAATAAACAAAGCAAACGACACAAATCAAACCACAGAATAATCTTAAACTATAATTTTTATTTGCCTTAAATTATTACAGTCCTTGAAGTACCTACCTCCGGAAAGATACAGAATCATAATAATCTAACTAGGAATAATAACACAGCAGTTGTGAGCTTTACAACAAGCTCAAATAATAATAAGAGTTGAGATCAGTGGTGGAACGATGTTAGTCCAAGTGTCGGAGCTCGTCGCTCACCGGGGGCGCTGCGCCCTCGCTCTGCACCGTAGCCTGCTAGTGTGGTGCGCCAGGTAGAAGCCCTGCGTCAGCAGGAACCGCCTTGGATGCTCCATTGATCTCTGAGACGAGTAGCGGCCGGAGCTCTCCTCCGGTATCCGCCATAATGTCCTCCTTTCGCTCGGCATCTCGATAATCCGTTTGCAAGCCATAGTCATTAAGTCAATATTCCATCTAATGTTTGTTTGACTTCTTGTTGTTCTCTGTGTTCATCAACTTGGTGACGATTTTTCTGGAGTGGCCCGAGGGGTCGAAGTGGTTGGTGTGCTCGTTGACCTCCTTCTTAGTGCGCTGCTTGCCGCTGTGTCCAGAGAAGATATGCTTGTCGTGGTCGAAGTTGTAGTAGTCGTACTCGTCAAAGAAGGCTTCGGACATATTTACGTTTGGATTATTTGTAAATAATGAAATCACAGGGAATTTTGTCGCAGTGACAACTGACAACGTTACTCAAGATTTTGTTTTCACTGAATGTTGAATCGAATAGCTGCGCGGCTCTTTTATAGGCTGCCAGCAACACGTCACTGACCGCATGCGCGTCGATAAAATTCTCGATTCGTGATTGGTGGAAACACCGGCGACGACCCGGTTATGAAGGATGTTTTGTTTATTTATAGAAGTGTGACTGTGTGAGTAAGCCGGCTCGGCTGGTGATGCCATGCTTAAAAATATATTTTCTACTGAAATATCGATTCATGTATATTTTTCCTCTTCGTTATGAACAAGTTGTGGAATATAGGTCTGTCGACATAAAATACTAGTTATATATATACTTTGTAATAGTCTTGAACATTTCATTACATTTTAATTTTGTAAATGATTAATTTGATAAGAAACATGGGTACAGTTTTTAAGGAGGCACCGTATTTGACTGTTAAAATGTGATGCGGCGTTGTATTATTTACCATTATAATAAAACATAATGAGATTTAAGCATATACTTTTCATCAGCTTTACCATGGATACGAAAAGTGAAAAGTATGATGCCATTTTGTATACAGTGTTTTGCATTAAAATATTTACCAATTTGGTAGATATTTTCCTACCTTTGCAACCCTGAATGCCGGCTCAATGTTATTGTGATTGTACCACGTATGTGTATTGTTACAATATTGACTATTGTGTACACACCTATTAAACATTAATCGTATTATCATGTAATAATTATAGACTATCGGTCAATACTCAATATAGTAGTGATAAGTTATTATTTAGCGACCGCACTCGGAATCTATTTGTAACTGACACATAACGCCATCTAGTATCGAGTAGCGATATTACACTTTAGTTTGGTAGGTAGTTTTCTAGCAAGTTTTCTAAACATACTTGATTGACTAGATAAGACTAGAAAAAAAATCTTGTTGTTTATGGCTTAAACATTTTATTATTAACTTATTAGCAATGTTAATATGACCACTGAAAAGACATATTTTTATCGACGTTCTATCTCCATAAAAGTTACTCTAGTAGTTTTTGTGTAATGATAATTATAGGTACAGAAAATTATTTCGTATTCCTTTTTTAATAATGTTTATTGGCATAGAATTAAACATTTTTATTACCTTTTAATATTTCAAAATAATGTCAAATGAATTAAAATTCTATTCACCTTGGAGTTTATGGAGCCGCGCCAGTAGATATTTGAAATTTAAATTGTGTGGAAAAACACTGGTATCTTACTCTGAGAAAATGCAAAGGATACTTAATTATTAAATTGTCCTCAAAAGGGCTAGTACCTAATATAATTTATTTATTATTCGATTTTTTATACGCGTTGATGAAGTTCATGAATTAAGAATTTGTCATTTGTTTTAACATTTAAAAAAATATAATCCTTTATCGAGGAATTCCACGTTAACTCTACTTTACATAAACTTCACGCCTTCTAATCCTTGAAGGGGTAGACAGACATGCACATCTTACGTAGGTACTTTATAACATACATTCTTAATTTATTAACATTATAAATGCGACAGCTTGTGTGTGTGTTTGTTACTCAATCACGTGAAAAGGGCTGAAGAGATCGGAATGAAATTTGGGGCAGAGATTTTTTTAAGGGCGAAAATTCATCGAATGCCTGCTCCCGCCTGGGTGAGGCGGGAGGGAGTGTCAGACTCTTACTGACTAAATACCACCCCGTTCTTACTCCTGCACTTCGAGCCGGAGCCCCGGTAACCCGTTAGGTTCTCATCGACTGGGGCAGGGATAGATTAAATTAGATTATGATCTAAATAATACAACAATTTTATTTTACGGAAACATGAGCAAAGTCGCTAGCAGAATCTAGTGCAAAATCTATGAATGAATTTACTTTTGAATCCCATGTAAAATGGGTTGAACTGAGCCTAAAGCATTTACATTTTACTTTTAATTAAGAATCGTGAAACGTTATCAGAATCGTTATATTATCACGATTTTATTTATGTTGCGGAACTTGCGTACCTACCTATTAGTCTTACACCATGATAGCATTATTGCACACGTACACATTTGCGTGTATTGCGAAATCGTTAAATAGAAATGCGATTCAATTTAACTGATACATATTTTAATATAAGTTTATCACATCATAAAGTACTGTTTTGTTGATTAATCCATAAGGAAAAGATTATCAACTGGTAAGGTGTATAAGCACGTACCTGCCAATCTGTGAACACTGAGGTGCATCTGTGCAAACAGCAGCTTTCTGGAACACATGGAGACGGGAAGCCGAGGGTTTGAGAGGTGCAACTGGATCCGGAGGCTCCGCCGCCCTCCGCGATGCATAGTCTGCACTCCCGATGAGGTATCCACTCAATGCTGATATGAAGACTAGGACTGCTAACGCTGCAAGTACTATTTTCGTCTTGAGCTTGTATGGCCTAAAACAAAAAGTATGTTTATAGTACTGCCATCTGTTATCGAATAGCAGGAACCACTTATCACTAGAAAACTCTTCGGATTTTTTGTAAATAATGAGGGTAATAGGAGGCAATGCTACTTCTGTATCAGGTATAAGTTAAAAATGTTTTTGTTTTCATTCATCACTACAATATTACTCACTTCTCGGGGTAATCATCGTCATCATGACTAAAGTTGCCTTGGAATATGGCAAATCTATTGATAGGGGACACTAAGCGTATCGTGTCTATAGGGCTGTCGTCACCATGGCTGCTTATAAAGTTCCTCCTGTGCAGACCACTGCGTAAGGGATGCTTCATCGTGTTTGCAACACTGTTTTAATTGTGACAGGTCGACTTCTGTTCAGCGGCACATAACAACATAACCTAGACACTTCTGATGAGATTTCCACCACGAAACATGAAGTAGGAACATAGAAATTAAGAAAGTTTCAACTCGTTTATGTTTTCTATTGGTATTTTGATGCGTAACACGGGTATTATGAACCGTTTGACCGTCAAAGTGACGTATCTGCGAGATGGTAGGTGATTACACAGTGAACTTGTTTGCGGGTATCGTGAAAATCGATAAAGCGAACAGCTGTTTTCAGTTCTTTCAGCCTTCGACACGTTAATTTAAAACAAAGATAGATGGCGATACAGTAGCAGTTATAAGTTTATGTTTTCCTATTAGTTTTTTTTATGGAAATCTATTAAAAACTATTACTAGAACGCCTGATTATTATACTGTTGTAGATAGGCACATTAATAAGTGCTGTTTGAAAACTATCTGCGCAGAATATATCATCAGGCGCTTCCTGTTAAGGACCAATTTATTTTCTTGTAACTATTTACTGGAAACGTATTTAATAATGACTACAGGAAATATGATTAACAGAATTTATATAGTCTTACTTTTTTAGATAAGTAGAATTTTATTGCACAATACAATTAACTTATGTACTTAGATAATGTTAGTTCAGTAAAGAAAGTATCGAATTTAAGCGGCAACATTCAGTAGTATAAAATAGAATGTAGAACATAAGTAGTCTTTTGTTTTTTAATATCTATTACCTGTCAGGATCGGAGTCCGGCAGCCTGATGAGTACATGTTGTTTTTTCCTCCTGACGTTTGGTTTTCCCGGCTTTTTCAAAGAACTTTGTCTTAATAGCTGCTTGTCCGACATTTTACTTATAACTTAAAAATTACACTGCCCTTTAAATAGTCCAGTAAATGATTTTAACTGTCTCTTATTATGTTGAAAAGTGTCATTGAGCTAATCAAGAGATGTGATTAATTACATAATGTGTTGAACGATTGCCAATTGTCGAAGTAAGATTTAGTACAGAGATTACCTATGGACAATAGTATGTACCTACATGAATTACGTGCATGTTTATTATACATTTGTAATAAATTGCCTTATAATTTAAGTGTATGTGAAAGGTAGTTTAATTTCAAAATGACATTTTTATTTAACTAATAACAAGTTATTAGACAGTTTTCTTTTCTTTTTCGCGCATTACTCAATGTCTCTGATTTGTAATTGCACCATGTTAATCAGAAATGATCCAATCCACATTTTATTATTTTTGAGTAAGTGAGTTTAATGTTGGGCAGATAATATAGAAGTCATATGACATAGTATCTATTGAATAGGTACTGTCTCATTGGCCGAGTGGTCGCAAGTGCGACTGCCGGGCAAGGGGTCTCGGGTTCTATCTTCGGGTCGAGCAAAATACTACCGGGTTTTAAAAAAAAATCTCAGTAGTAGCACGAAGTCTGGAATTGTGCCCGGTATATGGCAATAGGCTCACCCCCTATTACATGGGACTCATAACATAAATAATGAAAAGTGGGTGTTACATTGTATAGTGGCATAATTTACACCTCTGCCTACCCCCTCGGGGATAAAAGGTGTGATGTTATGTTATGTCATGTTTATGTTATGTTCATAATTATGATTACTTTCATTTAATCAAAAGTAATAAAACGTGGGCTGGATCTTTTTTGCTTAACAGGGCCCAATTGTGACCGTGAACCGTTTTTTGGAGTGCAATTTCTATAATTTTACTTTACAATTGAAAAAATTTATGTTCTTCATTTTAAATTAACCTTTTAAACCTTTACCTAATACTAATATAAAAAAAGTCATTTATCCAGTGTAAATCATAGATTAATATCGGGATTAATACTTTTGTTCTAAACCGGAAGGTCTGCCCTTTGTTATTAATATACATATTTTTGTTGTTCATATTATTATTGTGTCATATTTGTATGACGCATTATTCTTTCTGACAATGTATGATGTTATAGTGACTTTTTTCATAAAACCATTGATATATTTTTTTATTAACAATGGGCGTTTAGTCACTATCTCACCTGTTGGCAAGCGATGATTTAAATTTTTTAAGCAGACATCATCACTATTGTATATTAAGTTAACTAGACTACCTCTTTAGTAGAGTGGTCGAAAATCTAGTTGCCAAGCAACCAGAGTTAGATTGATTTATATAACGTACTACATACACACTATACCCCTTTTTTTAAGGGGAGAAATTCATCGAATACCTGCTCCCGCTTGGGTGAGGCGGGAGGAAGTGTCAGACTCTCACTGATTAAAAACCACCCCGTTCCTACTCCCGCCCTTCGAGCCGGAGTCCCGGCAACTCGTTTAGTCCTCTGTGGCTCTATATCGGCATCAGCCCTATTGGGCCCTATCCGTGGTGGCCTGATAGCTGTTTGAGGCGCGCGTTGAACGCGACGCGCCGTCCCCAAGGGTACACACTAGCCCTATGTTAAGTAATGTATTGTTTTAACAGTTTCATGTCTTCACCATTGTTTCTTGACACTATACTTACGTATGTACATAGTTATTTTAACTATTTCAAATAATATCCTCCTTACTTATATGTATCGTGTTTGTCTTGAATGTGACAATTATGGCGTGCCAACGTGCTAATGTAATGACAGTGAGGCGATAATGCCAATGTCAAGGATCAAACCTTAGGAAAAAAATATATGAAAATTACCACACTTAAATAGTTATTAACATGTCAGGATGTACTTACATATAAATTGATATAAGTATTTGTTAAAACTCATACTACGTAGGTACTACACGTAGCATACAGAACCAATCAGGACATTTCAAAAAGCCCTAATGTGCAGAGGCCACGGTGCATCCGAGAGCCAGTTGTTACGACTTGAGCAAACTGAACAATGAATTGCGTAAAATATATTCATGTGCAAAAATCATCAACAAGCATAATTTCAACGTATGTATTTAGTTGTGGACTCCCAGAGAGTCCCTTCTTATGGTATAGGGACAGATCACCTGATGGTAAGCAATCGAACCATGGCAACAGCAGAAGACTTACAAGTGCGTTGTCGACCTAGCGGCAGTAGCCCTCTAGAGACGCCCGGATATTTCACGTTAATACGATTGCGAAGATAATTTGAACAGCTTATATTACAATCCATCCATATTTCCAATATTTGATTGATAGAAATATTTACAAATCACTTTTATTTGAAGAGCTAGATAAAGCTGAGAGGTTTTGAGATATTGTGATTCATTTGTTTTGATTGTCACAGTTGAGAAGTAAACAGTATTTACATGTGAAATTCAAACTGATTGTCAAGGTCACCATGTTTGTCACGGTGAAGTACTTACATAGAAGTAGTTTCTAGAGGAGGCTCGATAAAAACATCGGTCGAACCTTTTCTATGAGTATAAGTTGTTTGGCAAGTTTTTTATTGTTAGCTACTATTTTGCCGTGTAGTAACAGATGATGAAGCTACCAAGTAACACACACCATCACTTATTTAATATCTTCTATGGAAACAACTTTTAAACAAAACATATAGTTGACATATTTACATTAAAATATTGACATGTACCTGAAATCTATCTGGTGTTGCTAATCATGATTACCTAATGAAACATATTGGTCGTGCATTGACAGGTTAGGCGTAAATAAAAAAATTCCAGGGCGATTTCGTTCACAGCTAGGTATAATACTTTAGTATTTTTTTAAATGAATAATTAAAGAAATAAATATGTACCTAACTGGGGAGTTAGTATAAATTATAGTCATTGTACTTCGATAACAATGTCTGCGTAATCTATTCGTTGCGCTTGACAAGTTATTTCAAAATGTCGTAACTGTCACCTAGGTATTAATTGCAATATTTTAGCACTAGATATATAAAGGCAAACACCTTTCTCATACACGTTCCGTAATACCTGACAGCTGATAACTGACAACTGGTTTTTGAAAATATTTTGAAATTAGGACTGATTTGTTCGTCTAGCCTCTACACTATCTATTACTTATTTATTAGTTAGTCATTATCGTGGCAGATATTATTAAAGCAACAGACAACATATTCTATGTATTACGGATATACTATAAGCCTAAATTATACACTAAAGTTGCAGCGAAATACTAGAAACATAGCTCGTAGCGCGTAGTTCTCAGTGCGTAACAGCGTTTTGCCTATTTTAGTCTACGCGCTACGCACTATGAACTACGCGCTACGAACTACGCCACAAACTATGTACGTGCTACGAGGTACGGCAAAAATTAGGACCTATAAATTTGTTTTATTTTATTATATTAATTGGATTAATTTATATTCATCGTTAGAATTACATTAGAAATTTATCGTCAATCAATAATTTAACACAATACTTAATTAATTTCATCATTTAAACGGAATACTGAATAAAGTAATGACACATTATCATTAAACTCCATCGGCGCCTAGGGGAGTCTAGAACGATTTGTGATAATTTATAGAAATCGTTAATTAGTTTTATCGGACCACGTAAATAAATGTATTGTCGAATCATCCGATTATTAACGATTTCAATCAAAGATTACATTACTGACTCATGTTGTCATTCCAACACTTTCCCAAATGCGATTTTTATTGTAGGTAAGTAGGCACCTACAGCTTTATGCGAAAATATTTATAAAGAAAACCCAATAAAGTTCCTATGCTAAAAATTAACTACAAACAATTAACTAACACACGTACCTAAGGACCTCATTCTCAAAAGTTAGCTTCCGACTATACTAAACCGCAAATCATAAGCACTACATTATACTCATTAATTAGTTCCTCGAGTGTATTACCCAAAAGACCTTGAGTTTAGCTCTTGACATTATCAGTGTGGAAATGAATAACGATAACCGTTATCAGGCAATTAATCATTTGACTCCTCGGTCGGGTAAAACGGATAGATAATGAATTAGAAAAAAGTAAAGTCATGCTTTATTATACACCGCTGCAGTTTTCGAAGAGAGGCATAACCTCAGATAGGTGATGATTATTCTTCTTTGACTGGGCCCCGTAGTCAGAGCCTGGGAAAAAGGCACACTAAAAGTGGGGCTTGTACAAGTTGAGGTTCCCTCTATTGGTCACGATTGGTCACACTGTGAGATTTCCTGAGTCACAGTTAATATAATTTCATAATTAAAGTTAAAGGTGCATTAGGCTATAAATTTTCAGTTTAGTGTGTTTATTTAAGAAACTAGAAAGAGAAAAGAAACAACAGTAACATTTTCCAGTAACCTATCAAAATTTTCCACGTCACGATCAAAAGGAGCGTCTGATTGATTCGATACGTGACAGTGAAAGATAAAGTCAAGATCTTTTTGATATTAATAACATATTGTAATGCACTACATTTATAAATATCAGTTCTAGTAATAACGTTTTCCGTTACCTAATTACCGCAAATAGGTTTCTAACAATCCCAAAAAGTAAATTGCTTTTGAGAATCGACGTAGATATAGACATTAAATACTTTACAGTTGAATTAGTCTTGTATTCATAAACAGAAGTATGATAGAGGAAAAATCGAGTTGAACGACTCGGTAAAACTTTGATGATATCGAGAATCGAATGATGAACTGCAGTTTGATGCTTCATAGCCCTGGTGAATGAACAAGACTCAGTTCGTAAAAAGAAATTTCATAACCGTTCATCCTAGAAAAGATAAATACAAATGGCAACAATAGTTCGCAATAGTTTCCTATTGCATCTAGTTAAATTGAAATATGGAAGGAAGACGTTGGACGTTGATCTCCCATCTCCTGCTGTTTACTACCTCAATTGAACCGTTTCTCATGGGACAACTAAATGGGGATATTTCCACAGTCAAAATTAATTGCT